TCAACCCACAAAAGATGGCAGTGATGGCCAGTAGCATATGCAAAGACACCCCCACATCATTAGCCATCAGGGGGAGTGCTCTGGGTTGGAAATGAAGATGCTAACTTTCCCCCTCTCCTGAAAACGCTCTCCAAGCCTTAGACCAGCGGTTCTCAACCTTCCTCACGCCGCGACCCTTTAATACAGCTCCTCATGCTGTGGGGACCCCCAACCATAACATTATTTCCGTGGCTACTTCATCGCTGTCATGTTGCTACTGTGATGAATCGTCATGTAAATACCTGATGTGCAGGATGGATTTTCATGGATACACATTGAACATAATTAAAGCATCGTGATTGATCACAGAAACAATATGTAATTACAGATGTGTTTTCCGATGGTCTTAGGCGACCCCTGTGAAAGGGTCGTTCGACCCCCAAAGGGGTCGCGACCCACAGGTTGAGGCCTTAGACCCTATGTGTGCCTTAGTGAAAGAAAAATAAACAAACAAAAAAATACGGGCCTCAGTTGGGTAGCTCAATTGGCTACAACTTTGTCCTAATACACCAAGGTTGCAGGTTTGCAGCTTCGATCCCCGCTCAAGGCACATACAAGAATCAACCGATGGCCCCGGCTGGTGTGGCACAGTGGATAGAGCACCAGTCTGCGGACTGAAGGCTCCCGGGTTCGATTCCGGTCAAGGGCACATGCCCGGGTTGCGGGCTCGGTCCCCAGTGTGGGAGGCAGGAGGCAGCCGATCCATGATTCTCTCTCATCATGGATGTTTCTCTCTCTCTCCCTCTCCCTTCCTCCCTGAAATTAATTTTTTAAAAAAAGAACCAACCGATGAACGCATGAATGGGTGGGACGATGAATTGATGTTTCTCTCTTTCCATCTCACTCCCTTCCTCTCTAAGAAAAATAAAAAATATAAACACTTGCCGAAACCGGTTTGGCTCAGTGGATAGAGCGTCGGCCTGCGGTTTTCCCCATACAAAGATGCATGGGAACATTGTCAATTTTACTCTCTTAGTTCAGGCATACAGTAATTAAAATTTGTAGGCATTTCTTAGGGGCTAGCTAATCTGTTTGAATCCCAGAATTTTTCAAGGTAAGCACCAGAGACTTTAAAGTACAGTTAGAATCTGGAGAAAGACAAGGAGTGATAGAAAATTATTAATATTTTAAGAATACTTTAGAATTTCGGTTCTCTATAAACATTGAGCTCTTTGAAACAAAGAATTAGGTTTGTTCCAGGTTCGATTCCGGTCCAGGGCACGGGCCTGGGTTGCAGGCTCCTCCCCGGCCTGGGGCCCTGGTTGGGCCGTGTGCAGGAGGCGACCCATCCATGTGTCTCTCCCACATCGATGTCTCTCTCTGTCTCTCCCTCTCCCTTCCTCTCTCCCTAAAAATCAATGGAAAGATATCCTCTGGTGAGGATGAATAACAACAAAATAAAATAAAAATCATGTTTAAATAAAAAAGAAAGATGAACGCACATGTTTGGGACGTTTGAGGTGCATAACACAGCCTCAAAGTCACTGCAAAATGAGCCCGGCCGGCGTGGCTCAGTGGTTGAGCATCGGCCTAGGAACCAGGAGGTCACGGGTTCGATTCCCGGTCAGGGCACAGGCCGGGGTTGTGGGCTCCATCCCCAGTGGGGGGCGTGCAGGAGGCGGCCGATCCATGATTCTCTCTCATCATGGATGCTTCTCTCTCTCCCTCTCCCTTCCTCTCTGACATCAATAAAAATACATTCACGCGCACACACACACACACACACACACACACACACAGGCAGCCACGGGGACGGGACCCCAGGCTACCAACACCAAAACACATACTGCAAATAAGCCCCTGCATCCGATGCCGCTGAATCATGGAAGTGAATTTATTTCTGAGTTGCCGAAGGGGCACGCAGGAGAGACATTCTTCCGATGTAGGAACAGTAGCACCATGCAGCACGCAGGCATGTCCTCTGAACGGTGAGAAATACAATCGTAGCCCGTGGGGAACAGCAACTTTACAGACCGGGGGAACCGAGAAACATTCTGTGACTCGGAAAAATATATGCCCACGACTTTACACTGTACAACATAACACACCGCCCCTCTGAGTCCTAGACGTTATATACAAAGAGTATTTTACACGGCGTCTCTCTTTTAACTTAAGAACCTTCAACCGTCGCCCGGCCGGCGTGGCTCAGGGGTTGAGCGTCGGCCCGTGAACCAGGAGGTCAGGGTTCGAATCCCACTCAGGGCACAGGCCCCGGGTTGTGGGTTCCATCCCCAGTGTGGGGCGCGCAGGGGG